TCCGTTGCGTGTTATGAACACCTCTATGCAATCCAACAGTGATATCAGAGTCGTGGTTTATTGTGTCTAAAATTTATTTACGAAATATTTTAAGATTATATTTGAAGAGTTCAAACCATATTACATGTGTCTCGTGCAATAGTCAAATTGTTTTAATGCCTATGGATTGATATTATTTTGTTGTGAATAAAATATGTATAAGTTAAACTATTGAGATAGTTCGTAACTTGAATTTGAAATTTCGTACAAGATACGACAGTAATCTATAATAAGTTATTAGATTATACAATTATTTTAATTGTTATTAGTTTATGAGATATAAATTAATAATAATGTTCTAGCATGAATTATTTTATGTGACATATAAGATAAACATGTTAGAAGATGTTGAATTTCGTTTTTATGTCACATGTTTGTTCATTACATAATTTTGAATTATTTATTACATGTGATGTAAATTAATTTAGGACTAAGCATGTAGACAACTTGAACTAAATTCACATGCTATAAAAGATTTGATCTTTATGATATTAAAATTTATTTTAGTAACAATTCCCTCTTACTAAAATTTGAGTTCTTAAATAATAAAATATAAGATATGGTGATAATTTATATGTGAATGGATACCTCCAACATGATGTTTATGTCTTACCTAATATGAATGCTAATTCGATTATGCATGTTTCAAGTCTTAAGAGGAAAAGAGATGATCAAGTAAATCATACATACCTTTGGCATTATAGACTTGGTCATATTGGAGAGAAAAGAATTAATAAGTTGTACAAGGAAGGGTACCTTGACAAGTATGATTTTGAATCATATCCAACTTGTGAATCTTGTCTCAAAGAAAAAATGACCAAATCTCCATTTACTAGAAGTGGAGAAAGAGCTACTGAATTATTGGGACTAATTCATACAGATGTTTGTAGGCCCATGAAAATTCAAGCTAGAGGTGGATATTCTTATTTTATTACCTTCACTAATGATATGTCAAGATATGGATTTGTGTATCTTATGAAACATAAATCTGAATCTTTTGAAATGTTCAAAAGGTTCCTTAGTGAGGTTGAGAAACAGACTGGTAAAAGTGTTAAAGTACTAAGGTCTGATAGAGGTGGAGAATATCTTAGTAAAAATTTTACTAGGTATCTCAAAGAGAATGAGATTCTCTCATAGAGGACACCTCTGGGAACACCACAACACAATGGTGTGTCTGAAAGGAAAAACCGAATCTTATTAGATATGGTGAGATCTATGATGGGGTTCACAAATCTTCCAATAAATTTATGGGGATATGCTTTGGAAGCAGCAACATACTTACTTAATAAAGTTTTCACTAAGTCAGTCTCTACAACACTATATGAGATATGGAAAGGACGTAAGCCTAATCTTAAGCATATTAAAGTTTGGGGTTGTCCAGCTTATGTTAAGAGATTTCAATCTGATAAACTTAACTCAAGATCTGATAAGTGTAGGTTCATTGGGTATCCCAAAGAAACAATGGGATATTATTTTTATCACCCTGACTATAAAGTGTTTGTGGCTAGAGGAGCAACCTTTTTGGAAAGGGAATTTCTTTTGGAAGGAAATTATAGTGGATAAATAGAACTTGATGAAGTTCAAGAAATAAATGAATCAACACAAAATCAAGATCATGAGACACAAGTTGAAGAACCTTTATTGGATGTTTTGAAGTTGACAAGGAAGTTGCCATCTTCAACGGTTGAAGTTCAAGAACTATATGTAGTTCAAGAACAGGTTAATGAACCAGTTCCAAACCAAATTGAACAACAACCAAATCCAGCACAAGATGAACAAGTTGTACAAGCACCTCTTAGAAGGTCTACACAAGAACGTCATGTAATAACTAGATTAAATCTAATGGTACAAGATGATGTATCAAATGAGGTTGATCATAATGATGATGACCCTAAGACCTATGAAGAGACTATACAAAGTTCTGATTATGAGAAATGGCAAAAGTCCATGGAATCCGAAATGGAATCCATGACGGAAAATAAAGTATGGACTTTAGTTGAACCTTCAAAGGATATAAAACCTATAGGTTGTAAATGAGGTTTTAAGAAAAAGATTGGAGCAGACGGAAAGGTGGAGATCTACAAAGCCCGTCTTGTTGCCAAGGGATATCGTCAGAAAGAAGGAGTCGACTATGACGAGACTTTCTCTCCCGTGGCAATGCTCAAATCAATTCGGATTTTGCTTGCTATAACAGCCTACTATGATTATGAATTATGGAAAATAGATGTGAAAACAACTTTCCTTAATGGTGAGCTAGAAGAGGATGTGTACATGACACAACCTGAAAGTTTCACATCTCCGTCTTATCATAATAAAATTTGCAAGTTACAAAGATCCATTTATGGACTAAAGCAAGCTTATCGAAGTTGGAATATTCGCTTTAACAAGACAATTAAAAAGTTTAATTTTTTTAAATGCGAAGAAGAACCTTGTGTGTACAAAAAGGTTAGTGGGAGCACAATTATATTCTTAATACTTTATGTTGATGATATATTGCTCATAAGAAATGATATACATGCATTACAAAGTACCAAGATTTGGCTATCTGAACAGTTCTCCATGAAAGACTTGGGAGAAATAGCTTATATATTTGGAATAAAGATCTATAGAGATAGATCTAGGAAGCTGCTTGGGCTTTCCCAGTCCTTGTACATTGATAGCATCTTAAAGAGGTCTAACATGGATTATTCCAAAAGAGGCTATCTACCAATAGGCACTGGAATTACTCTCAGCAGGGAGGATTGTCCTAAAACACCCGAAGAGAGAGAACACATGAGTAGGATCCCATACGCTAGTGCAGTAGGAGCTATCATGTATACCATGACATGTACACGTCCTGATGTGGCTTATGCACTAGGAGTGACTAGCCGATATCAGGCAAATCCTGGTGAGGAATATTGGAAGGTGGTGAAGACCATTCTTAAGTACTTAAGAAGGACTAAAGACCAATTCCTTATTTATGGAGATTCTGAGTTGAAACTTGAAGGTTATACTGATGCAAGTTTCTCTTCAGATAGAGATGATAGCAAATCTATTTCTGGTTATGTATTCACCTTAAATGGTGGGGCAGTGAGTTGAAAAAGTTCCAAACAAGCTACAGTAGCTGATTCAGTGACTGAAGCAGAATATATAGCACCTAATGAAGCTGCTAAGGAAGCTGTATGGATGAAAAAGTTCTTAAATGAACTTGGTGTAGTTCCTTCAATAGAAGGTGCAGTTCCATTATTGTGTGACAATACTCGAGCCATTGCTCAAGCAAAAGAACCAAGATCACACCAAAAATCCAAACACGTCCTGCGAAGGTATCACTTGATAAGAGAGATCATTAAACGTGAAGACGTCGAAATTTAAAAGGTTGATGGAAAGGAAAATATTGCAGACCCATTCACTAAAGCACTAGGAGCAAAAGAGTTTGACAAGCACAAGTGAAAATTGGGAATGAAGTACAAGAGCAATTGGCTCTAGTGCAAGTGAGAGATTGTTAGGGATATATTATATATGCCCTAGATCCAATCTCATATTTGATGATTTGAACATATTTTTGTGAATGTTATTTGATATTAAAATATATGAAATTTGATATTCGTTTATCATATTTATTATTAATTACTTGATTAATTTAATAAGGTCCTTGATTAAATTTTGAGACTTGTCATCATGATGGAGATCATGATAATGAGAGCAAAGTCTCTTACAATTTAATCTAAATTTTGTTCTTGATCGTAGGATTATTAATTTAGATATTAGTAATCCGGTTAGATCAATATTTATGTGATCATCTTTATGGGATAAAGATTAGTTGATCTCATTAACTAAATAACATAAATAGATGAT